GCCAATAAAAATTGACTAGTCCAAATACCACCGCCGATGTATCGCGATATAATATGTATAGGTTACCTGCAGCTACTAAATTTACGTGATCCAAACAAAATATACCTCCCTATTAGTATTAAGTATTTCTATTACACCATAGTGGGTTAAAAATAACATCAACACGTTAAAGACTGCCCTGTCACGAATCTTGTCACGAACGCCTTGAGTATCATACATGCACTCGGCCATTTTATGGACCCGGGCTGAGGACTTACCCGGACTCATACCTATATAATATGATACTCAGAGTTTTATTAGAGTTTCTGGCTTAGGGAATTCGCTAGATATAAATAAAAAATATCGAACGTTTTTGAGTGCCATGGTAATATTATATGTTATTCGAGACGAAATTGGCAAGTACAACTAAAATATCAAGTGCAATAGGTAATTGAAAGTGCTACTTGTTAAAACAACTATTATCGTTAACGACGATTTGACTATTCGAGTCCTGACAATAAAATATCGTGTTAAAACAAAAGTCATGTCGGACGACGATCGACAAAAAAACCAAAATATGGCCGAAAAAAAAAAATACTGTCAGCAAGACATGATATTATTATTGTCATTGGATGTGAATATCGCCTGAACAGCGGTCGATGAAATAGTACTCATACTTATAGTATTTTTGTCGATCAATTTATTAAATTAAACCAAAATATTCCGGAAAATAAGCAGTGGCGTAGTTGGCACCGACACATTATGCTATGATGACTATGCAACTAATAACTATATAGTACCAAAAATTTGCTAGGGATTTACTAGATATTGCTAGGCCACTTATAGATTTTTCTAGGGCCCCTGACCCTTGAAAATCCACAAACAAACATGTCGGTGCCATTCTACCTACAATATAGTATTGGATACTATAAGACCGATCCTGTCCTCATCCGTAGGTGCAAAAGCTTTACGATTTTTTTTTTTGTTTTCATCGAGGAACCTATATCGAGTTTCGCAGTCCGATACATATTGCTTGGACTTGCGAACAACGTTTCGCGTATACCATACCTAGCCATAGGGAGCTTATTTCGAAATACGATTCCTGGTCGGGTGTGTATTCGAAAATACTCTGCACCGGGGACGGGAAAATGTTTTCGCCAACGACCACCTCCATCTCCGCTGCAGATTCTCGGTCGGTCGATTCAGGGCGAGGAAAAAAAACGTCTCATTCCGTTCGACCCGTAAGATTATACGGTCGCCCCGACAAATCCATTAGCCATAATCAACATTTATATACATATATATATGTGTATATGTATATGTACAATGTACATACACGGCGTATTCAGCGTGTCCATGTCTCGTGAAAAAAAAAAAAATAAGAAAAAAAATCCCACACCGAATTCCTTTGGGTGTTTGTCACGAACCGTTTGGGTCGCAACTATATATACACAGTGGACACGGTTTATTCGACGGACGTGACGCAAAATTATTTGACCGATTGCGAGTTTGCCCGTGCGCCGCCTTCTTACCCTCCGGCCATATAAGTATAGAAAACCGATCGAGATTTCATTATTATTATTTTTTTTTTCCCCTTCTTACCACCATTATACCGGTCCGATCGATCACAAATAACTAGCGCGGGGTGTTACATAATATCGGCCCTATGATGCTGCTAAAATAGTTGCACAAGCACACAACTATACCCCGTGAATATCGTGTACATACAGTGTTCGTGATGTTTAACAGCATTCATAATATTCCATTACAATCATAATAATATTATATAGTATCTAACACTTTTTTTTTAGCGCGTGTTAGTGTACCTATACTCACATCGTAAGCGCCACCTGTCTCGCATGGGGGTTTTGACGATATTCACACGGTTATCACTAACACGGAGTGAACGGTTTCAAAAACGATAATATTTTGAATTTGTACTCCAAACTGCAGTATATAACATGATTAGAGAGTGTAATAATATGAAAATAGTAAAAAACATGTGATGATATTAAATACACATGGGTAACTTAAAAGTGTTTTAATTGAATCTTGAACTATTTAAGTATTTAAAAGCACTGCGGGTGCTACATATGTATCTATGCTATTATAATATAGCTGCACAAATAAACACAACTACCCCGCGAAAACCCTATACGGTGTTTGTAATGTTTACATCATTTCATAATATTCCATTATAATCATATTATAGTCTCACTTTTTTTTAGTCGTAAGCATAACCTCTCTTGCATAGGGGTTTTGACGATAACAATATCACTAGCACCGTGTGAACGGTTCCGAAAACGATAATTTTATTATTTTGTTGTTTAACTAAAAACGGTAGCATAATATTATATAAGTATATAACCATCGAACATTATTAATGATATATGGTATAACATGATTGGAGAGTACAGTATGAACACGAAATAATGTATTATATTTTATTATGAAAACAGTGAAAAACATGTGATGATATTAAATACACTTAGGGAACTTAAAAGTGTTTTAATTTAATTTTGAATTATTTAAATATTTAAAAGCACTCCGGGTAATACATATATCTATGCTGCTATAATAGTTGCACTAGCATATATAACTATCCCAGAGTACCTCTTGAATAGTGTTCGTTAGGTAGTGAGATATATATAGGCATATTCGGATTTATGAAATACTATCAATATTGGGCATATTCGGATTATCCGTGAACTCCGAATAGTTTGGAATTTGGATTATCCGATTCAATTTCTCCGTTCAACGACCTGTAGTCTAATAAATTGAATTTCCAAATAAATGTTTTAAATATTATATCTTTTTTCCGATGAATTTTGACTAATATATATATACTATATAGTGTTGTATTGCGCTATATCACATCAAAAAATCAAATCCATAAATCCAGATAATCCAAAAATGATTTGGGCCAATCCTGATAAGAATTTGATTGAAATCCGGATTTCATGCTCACCACTAGTGTTGGTATACTACGAATATTTATAACGCTCATAATATTTCACTATCACAAGCTCACACTTATTATCTCGGCGATTCGTATTACTCTGTGGCAGCAACACAGCCATTTAAGTAAGAAAAATCTGCAATAACCAAGGTCGTGGACGATGATTATTTAGGTATACCCATCAAAACGCAAGGTACCAGTTATACGTGGTAATAACCAAGCCTAATTATTTATGACGCAGTTCTAACTTATAACTTATTGATAATTGACAAATTTATATTATTATCTATATCACAATAGGTACCTAAATAATAATACAGAGAATACGGATTGTTTAATTTTTAAAAATATTAAAGTATAAAGTATATGTACGACAAGTCATACTCCTCGTCGCTGAGTGATATTTATATTTATTTGTCTATATACTTGTTTTGAAACGTTCTACTTTATTCTACTTCAATACAATTATCTGAACTTTACTGAGATTTATATATCTGTGTATGTAGGGTTAACTGATGATTTAGAAATATCAGTTTAATATAAAATATAACATACCGTAATATTTTAATTTCTTATTATAATATAACATGTTTCCAAATACAATTTTGTAAATAAAATAATTTTTTAATATTCCTTGATAATTTATCGAAATGTAAAGTCATTGGTATTCTAATATTATATGTGTGTCATTTCTCACACACGCATATTATGTTGCAAAAGTTAAATGCGTCGCTCAATACAAGATAATTGATATTATAACATGATTATTGTATAATAATTAATATGGTATAAAATTATACGTTTATGTATAAAGGAAATAAAAAATTTAATTAACTTAAATACTTTATAGTAAGTAATCACTCAAGAATGTGACTTATAATTTTAGATACAGATTGGAGAGATGAATTTATTGATTTTACAATGATGTGTGGTTTTTTATGACATCACCAATTGGAGCAGTAAAAATGCTCTGATATTAAAATTCAGTATCTTTTTTGGTAGAAAAGCGATTCTAGTTGATACTTTTTATTTTGATGGTGGGTGGGTCAAAAGTAAAAATTCTACGTAATTTTCTTAATAATTGGGGAAAACAAAAAAACAAAAATTAGAGAAATACCACCTTTAGGCAAAGTTTTACGTATATAATATACCGAAGATTCAAAATGGTCATAACTCACTTAAAAACAGAATTACAGAATACACACATACGAATTACAAATACAGATGGTAATGTTCTTACAATAAAGTTTCATAATAGATCTATTCCCTCTAATTTTTAAACTACCTAAACTAAACGTGATCTGCTGAGCTTACATTTTCTATGTTACTCACTTGTGAGACGGTGACAAGAATATATGTATCTTATTAATACGATACTCTGATAGTGTGATGAACGATTGAACTGTTAATATCACGGACTAATATATACAGGACTGGACACGACATGGTTGGAGGGTGTGGGGTTGTTGACCATGAAATTCATCACGTGTCCAGTCCTATATATCTTAGTCCATGGTTGATATAGAACGAAATAATTAAATAATTAAGATATCGTCTCGTATTCTAATTATGTTATGTTCGATAATTCTAAAGCCAAAATGTAAAATTAACTAGTTTTCTAAAATGCTACCTTATATGGATATGACCATTAACTATAGTCCATTGCAAGGTTAAACGCTGTGGCTCGGTTAACATATTATATATTAATACGTAGGGTCTATTTACCTTTACAACATGATAATGTCAAAAATATAAACTAGGTATAACATTATGAATCGTATGAAACACAGAGTGTTGGTTTATTTTCACCAAACGCAATAACGTAAACCGGTTTATAATGGTACTTAACTATACGTCTAAATAACTATTGAAATAAGATTATATAATAATAGAAACAATTATTTCAATTATTTGTATAGTAACTTTAACGCTTATCGCGTGTTAACAACACGTTCGTTTATGAATTGTATGTTGGTATATTAAATTGTGATATGCATTATAATATAGTAATGGTTATAATATGTATTACCAATTATTCGTATGTATTAAAATTAAAATTAAAATGTTCACATATTACTATGGACTGACCAACAACTACGGTGATTTCGAAACCATACCGTGGGAGAAACAGAAAACCCCCTCCAAACATGACAATCATAATGCCATAATAACCCGAAAACAGCCAACGGAATGTTCTCTCTGCTTACACTTACGTCGTACTGCAACTGTATTAGTGTGTCCTATAAAGGAATGCAGTGTTGACTCGTGTCTGTACCGTGTTTGTTGTGTCTCGAGCAAACGATCTCGTGCCATGTTTACCGCCAATTGTTGGATAAATGTCATTACACCATGTACAATAATAGTTACGATCGCCTATTATTTCTGCGTGTCGACTTTCAAGAAATGGGAAAAGCTGAACGTGCCTTACATTAAACCGATTCCGTTGTTTGGAAACTTTTTGAATATAGCCTTGGGAAAGGACCATCCGTTGGAATTTTACAACAAAATCTATTACGAGTTCGCCGGTCGCAAATATGGAGGATTGTTCCAGATGAGGACGCCTTATTTAATGGTTCGCGATCCAGAAATAATCAACGACGTGATGATAAAAGACTTCTCGTCTTTCCCCGACCGTGGTATTTACTCGGATTTCACGGCCAATCCGTTGTCAAACAACCTGTTCTTCATGGAGAACCCTCAATGGAAAACAATAAGAAACAAATTGAGCCCCGCTTTCACGTCGGGAAAGCTGAAGACGATGTACGATCAGATCAAAAAGTGCGGCGACGAATTGATGAAAAACATCGATATAGATTTAAATAAAAACGGTAACGAAATAGAGGTAAGGGACATCCTGGGAAAGTATTCGACCGACGTCATCGGCACTTGCGCTTTTGGGCTCAAGCTGAACGCCATAAGCGACGACGAATCCCCATTTCGTAAGTACGGCAAATCAATATTCACACCTTCACTAAGGATGCTTTTCAGAGAACTGTGTTTGATGATTACTCCTGCACTTTTGAAAGTCGTAAGAGTGAAAGATTTTCCAACGGCCGCCACTGACTTTTTTCACGGGGCGTTTAAAGAAACGATGGAGTATAGACTTGAAAATAAAATAGTCAGAAATGACTTCGTTCATTGTTTAATGCAAGCAAGAAATGATTTAGTTTTGAATACCAATTTACCTAAACATGGTGATATATTTATACATTCAAAATTTTAAAATTCAAAAACCGATTGTTGTTTAAAATTGAAAAATTTTGTTTTAGAAAAATTCACTGAAACACAAATCGTAGCAAATGCTTTTGTAATGTTTGCTGCTGGTTTTGAAACTGTATCCACTACTGTAAGTTATTCTTTATATGAATTAGCATTAGATAAATCTATTCAAGACAGAGCACGCCAAGAGATTCAACTAAAACTGTCCAAAAATGACGGACAAATTAACCATGAATTTTTGATGGATCTTAATTACTTGGATATGGTTATAGCGGGTAAATTGTGTTTTATAATACTATTTCGTAATATTAATTGATTTAAAAAACTTAAATGAGGTAGAATATTTTTTATTTAATTGTAACTTAAGATTATAGACAACTTTATAATTTTATGTTTTTATTTTTATTTTTATTTTTTTTAAATTTATTATTGGTAGGGTTGGTTCGGTTAGGTTGTTACGGTATTTAAGTAACACTTGTATGTGTTTCATGCATTTTGGTACTAAGAACTCAGGAGTGTCACCCATCCGGGAACTAGTAGCAGCGGGCGTTACTTACTCTCACACCGGGGACATGGACCTTCTTTATTGACACTTTGTCAAATGTTTAAAATCATTATTTCTCTCTTCAATTATTACTCATTAATCTTTTTACTTTGATATTTTATTAAAATAAATATTCACACTAATTGGTACTATTTGGAAAATAATCAAATTTAACTAATTTAATTTTGACGTATTTCGTAATATTTATGAATATTAAAATTGCAATATTTTTTATCGATTACCCAATTGGGTTAAAAATATTTTTAAATATGGGTTCGATAATAAATAAAAATAAATTAAACAATTATATCAAAATACCTACTATAATATTATATTATAATATGATAATACATTTTTTAGAAACACTCCGTAAGTATCCTCCACTGGTTGCTTTGTTCAGAAAAGCATCACAAACATATAGAATACCCAACGATTCTTTAGTAATTGAAAAGGGCCAAAAAATAATAATTCCAATTTATGCATTGCATTACGATAGTCAGTATTACACGGACCCTGAAAAGTTTATTCCTGAAAGATTTTCGGCTGAAGAAAAAGCAAAACGGCCAAGTGGCATTTATCTTCCATTTGGCGACGGACCTCGAATGTGTATAGGTAGGTTTAAAATATATTTTTCATGGGATAATTTAAATGCAATAATATTATATATATTTTTAAATTTCTAGGAAAACGTTTCGCAGAGATGGAAATGAAATTGGCTTTTGTTGAAATATTAACCAAATTCGAAATATTTCCATGTGAAAAAACAGAAGTTCCTCTAAAATATTCTAATAAAGTTTTAACATTGATGCCAAAACATGGGATTTGGCTAAGATTTAATAGAATTAATTGACCAATGATTATAATTTAAGGACAAAAAAAAAACACTTATGCTTTAATTTAACTGTTTACCTGAAAAGTTAATTTTTATTTTAATTTTTGTATCGATATATTTTTAACATCACTTCATGCTTTATATCTTAATATCATAGGTGAAATTAGGGGAGGGGGGTTGGGAATTTAGCCCCCTCACTTTTATCCGTACCCCCCCCCCCCGTTTTTTAATCATATTTTAGTTAAAAATAATAATTATAAGGGTTTGTACTGTTGATACAATTTTAGCCCCCCAACCAACAGAAAAATATTCTTAGTTGCACCTATGATTTACTTGAGTATTTGTAGTATTTTCACAGGTTTAAGCTAGTTCACCAAATTGTAAATGGGTATACGCCGTAAACCTATTGTCGTAATTCCATTACATTTCAACAGGTGCAAAACGTTCACAAGTCCAATAATCATAAACACAATTAATTATAAGCTATATTTGAAGCCAATTGCTTTGCTCGCGTACTTTGATTACAATATACAAACATCAAAATCTATATATTTTTAAGACTATACCTATATTATATTATGTATAAGACACGGACGTTTGTGTTGTAAAAATGCAATATTTTTTTGAAACAATAAATGTTATTTTGTTAAAATTTAGTATATAGTTTATGATAATGACACTACTATAATGTATAATAGTGATAACAACATTTTAGATTCTGAGTGAAACGATGAATGTATTGATTTTACAATGATGTGTGTTTTTTTTTTTATTTTTTTTTTTATTTTTTTTTTTATTTTATTTTTTATTTTATTTTTTATTTTTTTTGTGTCTGTGTACACGATAAGTAGTCGAAATAATGCTTCGATTTTCGACTTCAGTATCTTGTTCGATTGGAAAGTGAATATCGTTGGTGCATTGGGGAGGTCAAAATTTAAATTTCCCAGTAGTTTTCAAGAGCGCCGGGAAAAACAAAAGAAAAATTAAGGAAAAACGGGAATTTTTACGCAAAATCGATTTTTCAGAAAATTGAATTTGGTTTTTGGTGTAACTTTAAAACAAATGACCGTAGGTACATGCAATTTTCACTGGTTGTTTATATTTGCATCTTCTATACACGATAACATTTTCAAAATATTTTGATTTATTTTGAACAGTTTAGGGACATTTTCATTTTTAGTTTTTTTTTAGTTTTTTTTCTAGAAATATCAATAAAATTTTATTTGTTGGTTGCGAAAGCTTGAAAATTTAATAGAAGGCTCCTAATATATTGTTTCAAGGGCAGATGAAAAATATTAAAAATCCTTAGTCACAATTTTTTTTTATAAGCATTTAAAGTTCAAAAATTGACAAAATATGGAAAAATCACGAAAATTAGCAAATTATTTTGAGTTAAGAATTCGTAAAAATTTTTCTTTTTAAATCTAAGATTTGAAAATCTAATACAAGATTACTCATAAGATTGTCTACCTTTATCAATAAAAAAATCTCTACCGGAAAGTCAAATTAAATTTTTATGAGCGTTTGAAATTCAAATTTTTACAACATTGGATATTCACTCGATTTCTCATGTGGCAATTTCCTTTTTTTGTTGTAATTAAAAAACGAATTACTGTAGATACATGAAAATTTCACTGAATGTTTATATTAGCATTTCCTATACACCATACAATTTTGAAAATATTTTGACTCTTTTTGAGCCGTTTACGGACATTTTCAGTTTTCAATTTTTTTAGTTTTTTTTTTCTATAAATATTAATTAAGTTTTATCTGTTGGGCCAAAAAGTGTAAAAATTTAATACAAGGCTCCTGATATATTGTTACAATATCAGTTGAAAAATATTAAAAATACATAGGCACAATTTTTTTTATAAGCATTTTAACATCGAATTTTGACAGAATTTTTCAAAATCTCGAAAATTATTAATCATCGTAATTAATAAATTATAAAATGTTCAGTTTTTATAGCTAAGGATTGAAAATTTAAAACAAGATTTCACGTAAGTAGTTAATTCTCTTACCGAAAAATCTAAAAAATATACAATCACAGTTTATTTTTATAGTCATTTTATGTTCAAATTTGGACGAAATTACACATTAAAAAACCTAGTTATTTGTTATTTTGTTATGATTATATAATATTATTCATGGGTACCTACTTGAAACTTCTAAAGTTTACTATTATATATAAATGATAGTATCAGGATTTGTTATTGATGTTGATGTATAACGTGTTATTAGTACCTAATGGATATTGTGATAATGTGATATGATTAATTTGGAATTTATTATAGGTCAATTTTTTTTTAATACCATAGATATGTATATAATTTGTCTTAACCTAGACTGACATACCGTCTTCGCTCAGAATCGTTTTTCTTATACAATGATATTGTATCATTGAATTCAAATTTAATAGCATCAATTATACAGTGACCCACTTGTAACCTACTGTACAGCAGAGCGACATCCACTTACCCACCTTTTTAAATATGGTTATTAAAATAATTCAACAAATCAATGAAATAGTATTGAATTTTAAAAGGACTATACATTTCAGAAACAAGATTATATATTATTCACAACATTTAACTGTGGGTGTAATAGTTTTTGAATTAAACTAATACAACTATTTACAATTATTATTAATGTATTGTATATACTGAATACTTGGTCTTTATAATAAAGCAAACGTTATCTCAAATACGTTGTTATACTCGGTGAGATGTGTACAAATGAAAATAAACTCTAGGAAATCCTTTAATCTGCTATTATAAGAATAAGACATACGAAGGGTTTCTTGATAAAAATCAAACACACAATTTAAGTAGTTTGTTATGTCTCACGTTTTATGGTTCACTATGAATTCATTTATAGCTCTTATTTTATGTCTTAATTCAACTACTATATTACTATCATTATTATTATTATTATTATTATTACCTAAGAATTTAATACTATAGGTGGCAAACAAATACCACCGAGTTATGTAAATTTTCAGAGTACAGAGTGGATGAACTATTAAAGATAAAGGTCTGAAAACCTTCACGTCTACTAGCCAATGCGATTCTAACAAGACTCAAAACAAGGAAATTCGTTCTTCGATTTCGGAGATTTGGGTTGCTAAAGAGATATCTATCTAAAATTGGCTATTGTTGCTGGTTAAAAAGGTAATTAGTTTTTGTTACATTGATAAAATTTCACATTTTGCATTTACTTGACAAGCCCAATGAGCTACCGACCATCTTTCTAGCTCTAGTAGCTTATGAAAAAAAAATTAAAAAAGTAGGCTTTTCAGGATGAAACACTCCGACTTTTTTTCTGGATTCATATCATTGTAATACTTGGGCATGATAGGGACATAATTTTTAATATCATATATTAAACATAACTTAATTACCCACCAACTCTTTATTACTGAATTACGTTCTTACTATTTTTCCATTTATATCAAACTCTTGAAGTTTTCAAAATTCAGAGATTTTTTTATTCCAGTTATCATACTTACTGGATTGAAAATCAAGAAAATATAACAACTCTTCTTGTTAATATTAAACACTTCTTATATTATATTGTCTAATAAATGTATTTAAACAGTTCGTCGAATATGAAAATAATAATTTAATTTGCTTATTAAAAATAAATTATGTGCTGTTGAAGTCATCGTGTAAAATTTAATGTATTTCAAACATTTATAATTTCTGTTTTGTAGTAAAATTGTATAAATGCTTTATATTGGTTTTTTGTAAATTCTGAAAAAAATAATATAATATTTCGATTGGTAACCTCAATTGGTAAGCTTTAACAGTCGATACATTTTGGGTTCACCCACTCAGCTTTCATGTATTGTGTACGACTAAACAAAAAAAAATAAAACAATTTTTGTAAATACTATGACAAAAATAACTAATATAAAAAAAATACCTATTTTTGCATGACAAAAATTTAAATTATTATTAATACAATATCGATACAAGATGGAAATAAAATATTGTACAGTTTTGAAAAGAAATTTTTTTTCCGTTTCGACTAATTGTTTTTTTATTACAAAAATCATATGTAAATTAAAAGGGTTTATTTGTATGGTACGTACAACTACGCACTATATGTATATGGTAAGGTCTTTGAAAGAAATGTATCTATAAATATTGTTATTTGTTTCAGTTATAATAATATTATAATACTTATAGTAATTTTATTTCAAGTTTAATACGTTTGTAAACACGAATAGTTAACTTAGTTTGCGACTCGAGTGCCTTACTCAGACATTTTTTTACATTATAATATAAAAGTGTACTATTATTCAGCTCTGGTGTAAATTCATATTATAATAATGTTGTCTAAAAAATGTGTACCTACAATAAGTTTTCAAACGTTCATTTATTTACAACACCTAAAATAACTTAATGCATGGCATTAATAGTTTATTTCGTTAGTTAAAGTTTTTAAATTCTTTAAACGAAAATATAAAATACTTTTTTATTTAATCTTCGTGTAGGTATGCATTAATGTTAAAATCCGATTAATTTATATTATTAAAATACATTTTCGAAACAACATTTTTGCACTAGCTATAATAATTTAATATATTTTGTGATATTAATATTAGTGAAAAAGAAAAAAAAAGACTAATACGATTACAGCGGTGATAATGTAATTAAAATTGTTGCGGGAAAAGTAGTTTTTCGGTTCTGAACACGTCAAACTAAAAATAAAAATGTGTAGTCAAGTCTTATATTCTCGATCGTGAAACATTTCGAGGGCTGCACACCGTTATATAGATTGATTACGTCTATTAAACCCGTTTAACGCGCTGTGAATCAAAACTGACAAGTATAGACCATTTTTCTTCTGCCACTGCACTCTTATAAGCTAAACATATTATATTTTGCAGTTTTATACATCGTTCTATAGCCAAAACGAATAGGGTTCTTTATAACAATTTCATCGTAAATATAATTTAATACCTATAATCGTTAAAAATGATAGGAATACGATATCATAATATTATATAGTAA